TGTTAAGCTGTATTCGGCACCCATATTTCCAACCATCTTTTTCCTTTAATTACACTCATGGTGAGTTTCAGTGTTTAAGTAAGTCTATTAGTACATTTTCATCCAGAAACTTTGACTAACTTCTTTGTCCGTGCAGCAGAAGGTCTCCCCACACCATGATGTTGCCTTCACTATGTTTCACCATAGGGACAGTGGTTTGCGGTTTATGTCCAATGTTTGTTTTCTTCCTCACATACTGTTTTGCATTTCGGCCAATAAAAGAACACTTTGGTCTCTTCTGAAAAGAGAACCTTTTCCAACACTTTCCTCCAGATGGCTACAAGTTGGACTGCCAGACCCGTGGAGTGATTGTAATTAATATCTGTCGAATTGACAGCTCCCCTGCTTGAGCTGTTGACTGTTGCAGCTCCTCCAGTTATCATATGCTGCAATATTTCTATTGTCAAATATTTTACAGTGCTTAATGAAAAGTTTAGGACTTTGCATCCTATTGTTGAATATTCATTAAATGCGCTGAATATATATGCAGTATGCAGTGTGTTTTTTCTATTTATGAAATACACAATTTTATCAGAAATGATCAATTTTGCTCTTTTTTTGTGTTGGTCTGTCGCACAAACTTCCAATACAATACAGCATATAAAAGGGGTAAAGATTATTTTGTAAGGCTGTGTGGGAAAGAAAAGAAAGGTTGCTTGTGTTAAAACATTGAAAGAGAAATGAGCCCCTGTTGTACTTCGGCCTCAAGCTGTAGCAGAGAGCAGCATAATAGAAAAAACAAACCCTCACAAAAAAGAAAGTTTTATGTATTTTCAATTGATTTTAATCTCTTCAAGAAAAAAGAGAAGAAAACAAAGCCTCAGTTTTCAAGTGTAAAAACTTACGGGGGAAAAAATCATGCCATTGTTTTCTTAACGCTGCTTTTGAAGATTTTGCTGCATTTCTTACTTTTCTTTTTGAGGGGGGGGGGGGGTATTGTTGTTATTTTCATTGATCTGGGAAAGATGGAGTTTCTGCTGGTACAGCATCTTAATACAATTCCAGCCTTTTCCCACCACACAGAGGTGTATTCTATATACCTTAAGTACATTAAAGTTATTGAAATCAATTCCATGTACGGTATATCCTTGACACTTCAGCACCTTTCCATTTCAGTAGGAGGAACAATCTGTGCTTGTGCTATTTCTCTAGTTGTTATTTTTATAATTTGTACAGTACAAGCAAACATAACTGATTTATTTTATTCAAACAATATAACATCATTTCAATTGGATGAATGTTGTTTAGTCTAGACTGTTTATAGTTACATTCACAGCCTTATGCAAATAGATAATTCTCCCCTATTTCAACCCCTTTGTTTTTTCAGATATTTAGCTTAAATGATGAAGTCAGAATAATGCCAAGGGTGTAGACATGTATTAAATACCTATACCAGCAGTTTACATCCACATGCATTTTAAATGTTCTATTCGTACAGATCCAATAGCATGATTCCCCCCAACATATCACAAGTACTAGTGCAGGCTCTTTTTCTGTGCTTGGTGCATTCTTTTTATAGGCCTGTAGATTCTCCCCTATTCGCATGTTGACCTAATTTTTATGCTGTTGTCAACTTTTGTCACTTTGGGGAGGGAACCAGCCTGAGAAAGTAAACTGTCTGCGATTGGTATTATGGCAGTAGCCAAATTGATATGTGTAGTTTAGTTCTATATTATCAATCTGGGATGACTGCTGTTCAGTCAGTGCGTGAAAGGGAGGTATGTTTAGTACAATACTCTGAGCTGATTGAGTGATGTGCCAGCTAGTACCTACCATCCATAATGTGCTTTTAGCCAATCGCAGCAGCAAATTGCGAAGTTTCAGATGCACGCCACGAATGACAGGTGGGACATGTTTACTGAAATGTTGACCATTATTAGACGTTTACGGAGAAGTCTTTATGACATTGTGCAACGATTTTTGCAGAAGTTGCTAGACAAACCTGTGCATCAAAGGCGTTCTAAGCAACACAAAGTTGATTTTTGAACATTGTCAACCCGCTAATGAAAATAACTTTGCAAGGACGATTGATGGATGTGCCGGTCATGCTTTCGACAATTGGAGAGAAAAGAGGTGGACTTTAGGGAAATTAAAAGAGGCCAAAAACCAGATGACAGGTGAAGCATATTTTTCTACTAAAAGGATGAAGTTTAGGAGGAAGTTTACTCCAAGGTCCAATAATAAACAGCGGCCAAAGCCACCAGCACAAGCCAATAAATCCAGAGAAACCACCGCTCGCTGACTCTCCCTACCTCTAGCGTAGCCATATTTGTAATGCCCCACCAAGGCCCTTCTGACTGTCATAATTCCTAGATGTCCCGCCCCAAAAAACACTGCTGGCATGTCATTGGTGTGACTTGGTTGTTGGTTGTTACGAGGAGGATCTATTAGCGGGAGTCTTTCAAGATGGATTTGTTGTGACACTGAACTCAGATCTTGCAACAATCCACCTTGCAGCACAAGGTTATGTGATTGGCTCTTTTAGAGGAAATCCCGCCTCTTGAGACAGTCTGGTTTTCTTTCCAGTTGCGCTTCATAATGCGAGCAAAGCATCTTCAGGCTAACTGCTGGACTGGTTCAGACTGTGATACTGGAATAATTGAACAGGACTTTCGTAATCTTAGGACCCCAGTACATAAAGACTAATTTAATTTTTTGTGTAATGAATAAATGTAAATTAAGCATAACGTAATTCACTTTAATTATACTTTATAACTTTGTTTTTTAAATGTCCATGACCTTAACTTTTAAATGCCTGTGATTTTATATAACTCTCAGGTATATTCTAGATTTAGAAAAGACTATTCCTATGAGCTGAAATTAACTAAGAGAAATTATAGACATAATTCAGGAAAGCGTAATAATTGTATGAGTAGTGATTAATAACTAATATTAGCAAACAGTTTATGATTTATGCCTTTTGCATTGAATTGAATTGAACTGAATTAGGGTCAAAATAAACATGAAATATAAAGTATGATGTCTTCAGCCCTTTTTATGACCACCTTTAAAACTATAGAAGGCAGGAGAGGAGTCAGGTTCTGACCAATCAAATTAAGGGGGATAAATTAAAAAGTATCTGGGTCAAGTGAAGAGACGAATCTCAAGACAAAAACGCTTTAAATACATTTCACAGTTTAGCTTTGACTCAATGGCTCTCCCCGGTGCTCTTTAGTTAATCGTTTTTATAGTCTGGGATCAAGGGTCCTATATCTTAACGTCTTCATCATACTGATTGTCCTGTTAGTGCTAAAAGAGGTAAATGGTGTTTGGGCAGCAGGTCGTGCTGGATTTCTTGTTCCTGCTTGATAGTTCTGCTGTCTACTCCTTCACACAGAGTGAGTGAACACATTCAGAAGTTTACTGAGAGCTCTTTTGTCTAAAAGCTTCCCAGTTTATCCGTGTAGACCGTGTGGGCTGCAGAAAGACAAAAAGAAGTGTGGCTGATATGTCACCATTCACATGCTGTTACATCTAAGGGAAAATTAATGTCTTTAGGACACCTGGCGCCAATGCCGTGACTGTCTGCTTCTCCCAGGCTCATTTCTGACTGAGAACAGAAAGACCTTGGAGTACAAAGACAACAGACTTGATTATGTGAGTACACAGGAAGGTCTCCAAACATTGTCGTGCTAATCACGTTAGTGGGCACAGAGTCGAGGCAGGACAGATGCTTGGCAAAGGGCAATAGGGTTATGTTGTGCTGATTAGAGGAGGCTTGCGGAGGGAAGGAGGGCTTTGAATCTCGTCTCCTACCTCGGCGTCACCTTGCAGAGGTATACTCGTCTGTCACTTTCCTCTTCCTGCTCAGTCTGTCACTTCTTCCTCATCTCTCACCCAATGTCTGTATTCAAGAGCCAGCGCCTTATTGAGAAGCGATTTTTGTCCCGTCGTTCTGCAGCCAGTTTTCATTCTCCCTTTAGTCAACCGCCGACTTTGCAGTCAGTTGTCAGCTGATGGTTTCCATTTTTCTCTTAGTGATTTACTGCTTAAGGGTTTTAAACACAAATTTACTGCAGTGTGGTGTTTGGTTTTGTTTGCAGAAGGAAAAAAAAGCCAGGATGGCTCATTTGCAAACCTCTTTCAATTATGTCGAAGTCAAAGAACAGCTGAGCCAATATTAGCAATGGAAGTGTTCACAGAATGAACTTTGATGGTCAAACACTTCTAGATAATTCATATCATAGAAATTGTTTGTGTCAAACTCTTGAGGTACAGTTGTAAAGCTCACAGATGAACAGACCATCTGTCCACAAGAAAATCAGCCATTAGAGATAACATCAAAGATTTTGGCTGCCTTTATTTGTCATTAAAAATGATCTACAAACAAGTTAACTTGCTGACTTTTTTAACTTTTTCAAGTCATGCTTCCTTTTGGCAAGTACAAGAATATTAGCATGTTTTCAGTTTGCAATGAAGTTAATTCTAATAAAACAAAAGTATTTGGGATAAAAACAACTTGACCAAACAACCTTTCTTAAATTTGTGAAGAATATATGACTTTTTGAAACCATTGGTAACAGCATTAACATTAATGCATTGTATTTGGAATTTATGCTGATATAATGATATAATGTTATACACAATTTAGAGTAGAAGATAATATTTTCAAGGTTAAGTAGAACATCATAAAGACCAAGAAAAACATATAGAATTACTTTTCAGAAAATGTTTACAGAAGGGTTAGATAATAAAGCAACATCTCAAAGACCACTGTTACCTTCAGGATCTGTTCAATATGGCAAAGCAGAGAAATTCAGAAAGCTTTATAGAATGTTGCCCTTCTTGTGTCAATCGCCACAAATTCAGAGTTGATTTTTTTATATCAAAAAAATAAAGTATTAAGTTCCCACGACAGAGATACTTTCCATTGTATTCAGAATATAATACAATCGCTTTGACAGCCACATTATGTATTCACACCTTCTCACAATTCATTTACGTCTCCTGGTCTCTTTTAGGATCCTACATGTTGGTGAACTCTTCTCAGCATGCTGCCGGCCATCGAGCGCAGCTGCTGCTGCAGACGCTAAGTGAAAACGACACACACTGCGTCCAGTTCAGTTACTTCCTGTACAGCCGAGATGGTCACAGTCCCGGGGCCCTGCGAGCATACGTGCGAGTGAATGGTGGTCCACTTGGAAGTCCGGTGTGGAACACCTCAGGGTCTCATGGCAAACAGTGGCACCAGGTGGAGCTGGCAGTAAGCACCTTCTGGCCCAGTGAATACCAGGTATGAAGTTTGTGGATTTTTTAAATGATGAATAGCTGACATTTCTCTGGGCTTAGATTGGTCATTGACTAAACATATGCAGACCTAGTGACCAGAATCATGTAGAGCTGAATAATATAACATGCTAAAGCTCTCTTGATCACTTCTTATTTTAGCCTCAAGGTGAAACTCATGTTAATTACTTGCATTTGCAATTTAATTAGCAGTGATTCCCCTGCGAATACAGTCATTGTTAACGCTTGAGGTCCTTAAGCAGATGTGACATGGGAATCTCTGGTAAAGATTGTGCCCAGCTGCATCTAACCATCTGCATGGCATGTCATCACGTACTGTTCTCAGACCCAGACTACCATGCTTTGTGGGTGTCTGATGTGGCGGTAGATAACTTGGGTATGTGAGCGGGAGGGTTATCCATTTATTAATCCAATTTCTTCTTTCTGCAAACTCTGCTAAGCTGTCAGAAAGCTATTAAGGTTGAGTTACATGCATTTTATCAAGAACTGTCAATCCCCCTGACTTAATTAAATTCAATTCAGCCAAGTATGTTGTGACCTTGACTATGTAAATAGTAGTCCTCAGCACTGTATGTACCTGGGGGCAGAAGCATTTGAAAGCTTTTCAGCCAGCATCATCCAATCTTAATTCAACTGCTGTAAATAGCAAGGGACATGATCCGGCCTTAAGCATGCCTTGGTCTTCACAGGGATATGTTCTTCTGGACTTTTTTTGCATTATTATGTTTAAGACATTTACAACAATGTCTGATTGCACTTAAGAAGTCTTAGAAATGTTGCTAAGTTTATACAACACCCTCCAAACTTTGGCCCATGTGATGAGGATTTGTAGAAAAAGTCAAAGTAAATTTATTTCATCTGTTGTCGGTAAAAGATTAATATTTTTAAGTAGGAGAACACTTTTTCAGTCGAGTTAAAATTTCATATTATGAAACCGTTTTTCACAAGATCGCCAGGGGCATGATTGGATGCACTTCTACAATGATTAAAATTATATATCACTGAAGTTTCTTTATTTATATTTTCAGGTAATCCAAATGAAGAGAAACTGCTCATTAGTATTCTGTTATTATTATGTGTCCCTAGGACATAAACATGGAGGTTTTATTGAGAATAAAAAGTCAAACACCAAAGAGCATATTCTTTAAACTTTTGAGTACTTAGAGTCAGTGAAAAAGCAGGAAAACAAATCTGGAAACCGTGCCAATTTGCAAAGTTAATATCCTGAATTTATCTGGTCAACACTCACAGTGAGGATGATGAAAAACATTCTCCATAGCTCGCTGTTGGAAAACCACGGCAAATATTGGTGTGTTGGTGTCAAAAAGTTCCATAAGAACCATTAGAGGCAAGCTACATGATAACTAGCTCTTTGGGAGGCTAGCCATATAAAACTCCATTCTGAACCATCAGATATATAAACATTTAAAGTTTAATAATAATAATAATTGAACTTTATTGATCTCATACTGGAGAAATTCACCACTGCATTTAATCCATCCCCATGGGGAGCAGTGGGCTGCCATTGTGTGGCGCCCGGGAAGCAGTGTGGGTTAAGGGTCTTGCTCAGGGACCCAGAGTGCAGGCTGTGGGAATCAAACCACTTCCAACTTTCTCAGAACACAAGCGGACTGTTCTAACCACTAGACCAACACTCCCTTCCTAAATATACAGACATTGTTTTAGACAGATATGACTAAGATTTAGTTTTCTTGGCGACAAATGTCCCAGAATGAGTAAGTTGTGATAAACTTAACACATAAAAGCAACCTTTAAGTAGCTACAGTACGTTTGTGATGTTGTTAGCCTTTTGCTAACAATGAAACATTATAGGCTGAATGATCTACAGAGACCATGCAAAGAAAAATTCTGCCATATACCTTAAACCATGTGGGATATTAAAATAAAAAAGGAAATATTATCAAATGTAATGGAATAATACTCATAGCTCTCATTGTTAAAATTAATAAGTGTATAGCTATAATTGCACGTGTATATTCTGATAGAGCAATTTTACCTAAAAGTGAATAAGCAGATTAGGAGGAAATGACAGGAAGAAAAATTGAAAGCAAACAAACTGAATAAGTTTTCACTTCCAAGGAACAGCCACTGGAGCATGATGTAAGACTGCTGGAAGAGAAACACATGTGGAGACATGCTGACTGTATTGTAAACTGATACCAATCAACATTCCAATATGTTTACTTTCTTTAACCTTTTCCATGTTTTCCAACCAAACCGGTTGACTGTTTTTTTTTCTGTAATTTAATCCTTTCTTATTCAACAATAGCATCTAATGAAGCTTTGTGGAAATGTTCTGAAGTTTATCGGGACAACGTTTAGTAAAACAGAATTATGTAAGCAATATAATGTTCCTGCAGGCTAGTTTGCCTCCTCTGACTGACACACATAGTTATTAGCTATTTCTGATTAGCTATTATGGAGCCAAGCACCTGTAATTGTTTGTGAGGGTGCACTTGTGCATGTAAAGTTTATCCATAGAAAAAATGCTCAATAGTGGTTGTGGAGAGCCGAAGAGGCGCACCCCCCAGAGCACTGAGTCCAGCGCCGGGAGATAATAGCGTGTTTAAGAAAAACGCCAGATACAGCACTGGGACTTGATCAACAGCCAATACTGTACCGTGACGTCACAAACCGGTAGGTGGCAGTAGTGTTCTTTGACAAACATGGATACCTCCAGTAAAGCACAGTCAAATGAAATTACTCTTAATTAAAAACACTTATAATTTATTGAACAGTACTGTATGTAATAATTTCATATTTAAAGTATTTTCAGAAGTTCAAATTCTGAATATGACCGGACTTTTCCTTTAAATAATCTGTACTATATGTTTAAAAGTACAGTCACTCCAAACATACAAATTATTAACAGCAGCTTGCTTTAGTTCAGGCCCCTGGCCAGCAGTGTCCAGTAACAAGGAGGGGAGGGGCAACACCAGGCTGCTCTATATTCCATACAGCTAGAGAAAAGTCAAGGCTCTCCTACAATTTCTATTACATGAAAACAAGAGTTTTTCATAACCTGGCTCAAATAACATCATTCAGCTGACATAGAATAACCTAGAAAATTATTGAAAGTAAAAGTATGCTCTAGCTTTTGGGGTAAGTTAAATATGTATTAAAGGGTTTAGAATGTTGTGTTCTGTTGGTAGCTTTTGGATTTTAAAGCTTGTTCCTGGAAATTGTCCCTCATAGAATGTCGTCCTAAATATAAATATAAACTAAAGCTGTAAATGTATTGCATAGGAACATAAATTATAACATTAAAACCGATGCTTTTTGTATAAATTGTTACTCTAAAGTCCTCTTAATGTATATATATATATATATTTATATATATATATTTATATATATATTCCCTGTGTCTCTGGAGTGGTCCACTGTGTGATCTTTCCAAAAAAGACTCACTGATTCTCATTGCCCACCACTTTGTTCTGTGAACCAATGTAGTAGAAATGTCATAAATACGCTGATCAAACTTCCTAAGCTGCTTTGTTCTTTCCGTCCAAGTGGCCCCATTTTCTTTTACTCTCTGTGGATTTGGGTGCTTATTCACATCACAGTAAACAGTGATCCTTATACAGTACAGCGGTATTCATAGCCCTTGAACCTTTCACATTTTGTCATGTTACTATGTTTGACTAGAGCACTCCTATGTTGCTGTGTCCCTGTATGGCTTATTCCCAGCTGTTTCTTAGATTTCATGATGTTATTTTTCCCTTCACTAATGTAATCAGTGAACTTTTCAGGTTTTCACAGAGTATTTGTACCTTTACTGTATTAAAATTACACTCAGGTTTGACTCTATTTACTTATTAGGTGACTCCCCAGAATGCTTTACTTTTTGTGAATGTGGAAATGTGGATATTTGTGTTAAATCTTATGATGAGCGGAAGCACAAAGCAGAATCATGGTTCAAATAGGCTGATGAGGAGGAGGAGAAAGAAGAAGACTGACCGAAAAATTGGTATTGACTACAGAGTCTTTTAATAGAACGGCTTAAAAAGGTAATAGTCTGGCTTTTATCTCATGTTGTGGAAAACATGCTGTTTAAATTGATTGGATTAAATTTCTTAATATTGGGGATTTGATATCAAGAATTGGCAACATTAGTGCAAATGTATCCTAATGTGATACCGGTGGGATTACATGTCAGTTTCACTCGGCTGACCTCATATTGCTTTTGAGCACAAAGGGAGCAAAACAAGCTGCCCCTGCAAAGGCACGTATACCATGGCTTACATTGCTAATCCCTCAGCAGTCAAAAGACCTCATCACTGTGGAATGACAGTGAGGCTCGTCTTGCCACTGCTTTCCTCTGCACAGACAAAACAGATGAAAGAGAATAAAGTTGGATGTTTCTTTAGTGCTGGGCATCCCCTCGCCTTAACCCATAAACGACATGTAGTCAAAAGATGAAAAGAACAAATATCTTAAAGCCTGCTTCGCTTCAGAGCTTCAAAACGATTCCTTTAAAAGAGTTTACTGCAATTCTGATTTAATTATTTGAGCTGGCATTCACTTGACTTTACTTTAGTTTTGGTAAATTATCCAACATTTAACACAGGAAACAGAAAAAGAAACAACAATAAACAAACAAACCCACAATTTACCAAAAAAGGAAAAGGCTGAAGCAAAGCTTATGCTTGCCTAACCTGTTTTATACTTACAGCATTTACTACCTACCAGGCTCTTCATAGTACATATATAAATATTCCAATCTACATAACAACATAGGATTTTATCATTTTACATTTTAAAGCTCTTTTAAATACCACCAAGAAAATTACTTGAAATTAGCATTCAATTCATTCCACAGTTTTACACCAATAACTGAAACACACCTGGACTTTATCTTGCTCTTTTCTTTAGCACATTCAAATATAAACGTACCTCACAAATCATTTTTATTCTCTCCTAACTTGAATAATTTCTGAATACCAGAAGGAAGACTTTTGTTCACTG